CTCAATGTTGGGATCAGAAGCAACTTTATTCCTTGGACACACATGCCATGCTGCAGTACAGCATCCGCAAATACTGAGGCAATGTTGTCAGTTGGCACGTTGCCACATTACAGCAGCTATCAGTACTGGAGTTAATGCTGCTTTTTTAGCATGAACAGAGAAGCAAAGCCTCAATGCTGCTCCATTGGAGCCATGGAGTCATGCAGCTGGTTCTTTGGCTTGGCAATTGTTCCCTGACAGACAGTGAATAGGCTGCCTCTTGGTCTTTTTAGTGCTTTCAGACTTGTATTTCTTCAATTTTATCTTTATATCATAGCTGAGGTAAGAGTAATTCTACATTGCAGGTTTCTCATCCTGGCAATTGTTCCCTGACAGACAGTGAATAGGCTGCCTCTTGGTCTTTTTAGTACTTTCAGACTTGTATTTCTTCAATTTTATCTTTATATCATAGCTGAGGTAAGAGTAATTCTACATTGCAGGTTTCTCATCCTAATAATTTTTTGATTGGTTTCTCGTCTTTATAATCAAGATGAAATCTCTTTGTGGCCAAGGGTACATGGAAGCAAGAAGGTGGGAACATTTTGGAGCTGCATTGATTTGCAAGTGCCTCACTGTTTCCTATCAAAGCTCCACTCTTTAAGTCCACGTATAGTCATTGGTACAGCTAAGAATACCAATGACTGATGTGTATTTTATAGTTTCAATACTCAAATACTGCAGGATTTGTACTTTATAGTGTCAATACTCAATATTTTCAAAATATAAACCGGTATATATTAACAAATCATACTATAAAAAATGTATATATTGCTGGATATAAAATCATGATATAAGAATATTAAATGGGGTTGCACCCATATATGTATCCAGGATCTTGGGAAATGGAAAGTGGTATGCCCATATTGGTATCTATATCTGGGAATTATGACAGGCTTATAACCAATATCTACTAATCCGAGATGCATTTGGTTGAAATAGTATGAGTGGCTCAGAAGTCACTTCCCCCACCCCTCCATGGTAGTGTTGTGGCTGGTTATGTGGTCACGTTCTTCCATGGTTTCAAAATACGAGTGATCATGGGTCAGGCCAGGCCCGGGTCTGGCTAGAAATGATTGCCCCTAGTTTCAAAATAAGGACTATTTCTAACATGTCTATACCCCCCTCGACTGCAACAATAGATTTCATTACCACAAGAGCTACCCGAATCACTAGCTAAATTGTGTAGGTAAAATTCATTTAAAATTAGCAACCCACGCAGCCATGATTTGCATAAATATAAATATAAGGAGTATCTGCCCACACATTGTAGAAATTGAACTCTGATGAGATAACTGATTAATGCAGTTGTTCTTACTGAAACTAACCAATTTATGTATAGCAGGCATGGAATTGGTAACAACTTGCTCAAAGTGTACAAAAATTCAATAAAGAGATATATAAAATAGTTTAAAAAAGATCAATCTCCACACACCTCAAACCTTCAGAAGCTGCATTTTGTTGGCAAATGCAATCGCAATCCAGTCAGGCTGAAGAGCTGACCACTGCAGCTGATTAATTTCCGACCCTGCCGTGTATGCCAGAATGGGATCGATCCCGTTTGGACCTGCGACCGTGGGCAACTCCCAAATCAAGGCCTGCGCATCATCTCCTGCTGAACAGATATGGCGGCAACTCTGTGGGGCCCATGCAATGGCATTGATGCACGCCCGATGTCTCTCCAGCTCCGCGACTGGCAAACCCGGTGATCTAATATCCAAAATAACAACTTTATTGCTATCCATCAGAATGGTTGCCATGTACCTCAAGTCCTGCTTGTTCCAAGACAACCTAAGCAAGGGGGTGTCAGGCTGCGGGCTCTCGTATACAATGGTGGAGTGCTCCTTATCTCTCAAATCAAAAATCCGAACCGATCCATCAGCCGATACAGAAGCAAACACACCAACCTCACCCCAGGCAATGTCGTAAACCTCCTTATCGTGAGCAATGAGCTGCGTATCCACAACCCCTCTCTCGACGTCCCAAATCGTGCAGGTTGTATCGATGCTAGAAGTACCAATTCGCCGAGGCTCCGCATCGTTCCAATCGAAGGACGTAAGGGGGGCGCAGAACTCGCTGGTCTTACTGTTGTTGAGAAGCGCTCTGGGCTCGATGGAGTTCTCGCGAACCTCCCAGAGACGGAGATAGTCACCGGAGGAGGCGAGGAGATTGGAGGATTTGCGAAGGGATTTGGCGCCGTTGGGATGGAACATAAGCTTGGTTGGTGGATAAGGGTGATCGAAGGAGAGATTGGGATCGGTTTTGAAAGTCAGGGTTTCCTCATCGAAAGAGATGATATCTACCTTGTTATTGTACTCCTCCAAGAAGCTACCGACAGCGATACGGTGGATTCGGTCGGAAGAGGAACTGAACGCCATGGCGTAAATTGGGTATGGAGAGTCATGAGTAAAGAAATTCTCGGATCTCAGATGAGATTCTTGGGTGGAATTATCCATTTCTTTATCTCTTCTTCTTTTTCTTCTTCTTCGCTAATATCGTGACGGCTCTGCTGACTAAAATAAAACTAGGGTTTTAAACAGAGAAACTACCAAGGATTCACCTGGAAATGGGGAAGAGGAAGACCATTAAGCGTGGGGACAATTTCTATGATACCGAAAAGGGTATTGAAACCGGAAGAAAATAATGCGAACAGAGAGTTTGACCGTTGAAGATTAAACAACGACGGCTACGGGACTACGGGAATGAGTTCACAGCACATTGCTGGTAACGTTTCATCCAGCCGCACGTTGGAACATCTCTTGTTCTTAATTTCCCCAATATTTTACACGTGCGGCTGGAACGTGACCAGCAATTTCAGTGATCACTGATCAGCAGATCTGCACTCACCTTTATGCTTTTTTCCTGGAAGTTCGATAATAGCCGTGGAATATGGAATTGACTCACTTACGATACGATGGATATTCGGCTGAGCTTTGTTTAGGTTCCGTATAAATACGTATAAAATCTTATATTTTGTATATATTTATATTATATATAAAATATAAAATCAATACAAATTTATACTTCAGATTAGAAAGAATGTAAATACAAATATATACTATACAAATACACACAAAATAATATAAAAACCAAGAGGTGTGCAGCAGTGAAGCCAATTACCATACTTGAACACTCTTGATAAATCAAAGGAAACAAAATTATATCATCGATCAATGGTTCTGGATCAACCACGATATTATACAACATACTACATCAGGCTTCACTGTTGTATCTAGTATTAATATGAATTTGTGACAGCAGTATGATGCAATGAATGTGGGGCAAGACCTAGACGGACGGACAACCCATGAGCTAATTTTTGTTCTTGATCTTGCTCAAGAACTAGGCCTGAAGAAAGTTCAAATTTGTACAAATGCTTAGCATGCCATATAATAGTACAGGTCTTAGAGTCAAGAAAATGTTATGTGAAGTGGAATAAGCGGGGCATGTTTGAAGAAGTCCGAGACCTTACAAGTTGCGTTTATTTGTCTCCACTCTCTAGAAAAAAATATAGTGCAGCCCATGAAGTAGCTAATAATAGGACTGATTAAAAGCATAAACGATCAGAAGTAGGAAGTAGGAGATCAACAATTAATGACCCTCCGAATTAATTGAGAACTCTTCTTTGCACAATTGCATTCTTCCGATTCAGAGGCAAATTGTAATACTTTTGTTTTTGGAAATTGTCTAAAATTCATCACGAGCTTTTGATATTTCTCTTAAATTCATCATAACTTTTTAAAATGTCTAAAACTTATCATGTCAGTAAGTTTTATTTTTCAAAATTCACCTTTCGCTAGAGCACCATTAATGCTTCTTAACAGAGGTGTCTATGCCAGCATAAATAACAATTTTCATGACAAAATTACCCTTGAATTGGTGAGCTAGAGGAAAAATAGTCTTTTTCAGTTTTTAATTTTCTTGTTTTTTATGTAATTTATATTTGAAAATATTTTTTAAACTTTTTCCTTTTTTCATGTCTAAATATTAACACCCGTTAATTTATTTTGTATATATTGTATATTTTCCCATTACGATTAAAATGGTAATATATTATTAAGACCCATTAGTCTGTTTAATGTCAAGTTAGTGACATGGTGAGTTTTAGACATTTTGAAAAGTTGTGGTGAGTTTAAGAGAAATGCTGAAAACTCATAGTGAGTTTTAGACAATTTCCCTTTTTTTGTTTCTGTCAAAAAAAAAGGACTCGCATAGGGCCATAAGGGTTGTTGGTTGGAGTGATCCTAACTTTGGTCGGTCCAAGCCAAGTTTGCCCCACATACTTTGGACTTAAGTTAGGCAATCACCTAATCATCTTAATTTAACCAATCAATATCACAATTCACAAGTAGTGGTAATCAATCAAGTGGCTATTTAGCAAAATTCAAGGGGACTTTATATAAAAAATTATATAATATATACATGTATATATTATATACATATAATATATATAATATTTTATATAACAAATAATATATACATAATAAAAATATTATACATATATAATATTTTTATTTTTTATATGCATAATAATTACTATTTTTATAATTCTTAATTTTTACATATAAAATAAAAAAAAATAATATGTATAATTTTTTATTTTTATAGGAAGTTTGGCTCACAATCGAGCTCGAGCAAAGCCAAGATCAAACTTACGAACTTTTAAATCGAGCTGAATTTGAGTTCAAGTCTCTAGCTTGTATAGAGATCAAGCTCAAGCCTCATAGTTTTTAGGTGAGCTGAGCTTGAGTAACCAGATGTTCAATTCAAATCCTCCCCTATATAATGAATGGTCTGTAAGTAGGGGTTTCAATTGGCCAACTTTGGTCCAATCTTATCTGGTCTAGAATTAACCAATTCATTAGTGACCTAGTTGGGGTGGTTTTTCCAATTGTTGATCAAGGTTGGAGCAAGTTTTCAAGGAAACCCAAAACTTAGGTGATCGGGACAAGGTGGGGTGGTATTTGCCCACCTTGCCCTAAGCCCAGCCCTAAACCCGCCTCAATTAAATTGATATATCAAAAGTTATTTGACAAACCAAATCACCACGTATTGTTTAAGACTTAAAGATAATATTAGGATTTTTAGAAGAATTTATAAAAATTAAAAAACAACTTGGTCAAGTTTCAAATATGGCAACTTATCAAAAAAGTAGTTGAAAGCCAATCCAAAACGAATGAATGAAACCATGGCTATAAATGCCAAGGGTAGTGTGGAGGAAATTCAAGGATCCCCCATCATGCCCCTAACCAAGGTTAGGCACAAGACAACACCACATGCTTATTATCATGTAAAGCTCATAGTTGTCAAGGTGACACCTAGTGAGGTGCCTATAATTCTATATTCTTAATTTTTTGACATTATAGTTATAAAATAGATTTATTAAATTAAAATATTCATTTTATGTGCTTATATACTAAATTTTTACTAGTTTTTTATTTGTTAGGGTTTAATCAACACAAACATTACTAAACGCTGTATTGCACCCTCAAAGACCTAAGAACCTTAACCAATAAGTAAGGAAGAATTTAGAATTTGGTCTAATCAATACTTCTTCTTCTACCTTTTATTTTCTTCTTTTCCTATAACGAAAAAAGGGGTTCAACACGTATATTTTGTTTAATTTTTTTTTCTTATTTTTCTTCTCAAGAATATATTGATTTCATTACAAGAAAACTGATCTTTAACAACGGTTTTTCCAGCAACGGACAAAAAAACGGTTGCTAAAAATCACATATGGCAATGGTTTATTTTATCCGTGTCTATATGTTCAATTTCGTATTTAACTTGGCCACGGTTTCATGAACCGTTGCAATACATGCTTTAGTTTTGAGACGGTTATAAAATTAACCGTTGTAATACGTATTCTACTTTTCATGAAACCGTAGCTGCATGTTTGCGCGGGTTTTTCCTCAAATTTTCATCATCTGAAAATAAGCATTGCCCGCGCATACCTTCTTCTTGCTTGTCTTTCTCTATCCCTCTCTCTCTCTCTACTTCACTCTCTCCGTGCCTGCTTCATTCTTTCCATCTCTCTCTGCTACACTCTTTCCCTCTGTTCGTGCTTCTCAGGTTATCGGTGTTCAAGGAGTGAAGCGACGGTGAGTCGAAAACCCTCAGGCTTTTACTGGTGCATCTCTCTTCAAGCAATGGTGAGTTTCTCTATCCCTCTTCTTCTTCTCTCTCTCTCTCTCTCTCTCTCTCGTATTCATTTTTTATGCTCACTTTGACCAGATTAGAACTCTGCATTCAGCAGTGTTAAAGCGAACTCTATCCCTCTTCTTCTTCTTCTTCCTCTCTCTTTCTCTCTCTCTCTCTGTCGTACTCCTCTCTCTCTCTTTCTCTCTCTGTGTCCTATTCATTTTTTATGCTCCTTTGACCAGATTAGAACTCTGCATTCGGCAGTTTTAAAGCGAACTCCAGGCTTAGGTTTTTTGGATGGAAGGGGCTTATCTCAGTTACCTTTSAGCCTAAGAATGGTTACCCGGTGCTAAAACCTCGAGGTTAGGTTTGTATCCAGCCTACCCTCCCCATGAACCTAGGTAGCAGTGACCAACATTGTGTAATGGCCTTTACCAAGAGCCATGCAAGCTATTTTGTTGTTCGGCACATTGTTATTATCCTTGATGAAAYAAGTGACCCTTGATCCATAGTTGATGTCAAAATCTTAGATGTATTTTGTTTATATTTTGTATAGTTTGATATTCCTAAATTCATGTAACCATGCGTAGTTTTGTTAATTCAATGGACTTCTCATACTAGCTTTATATTATGTTGGTTATTGAACTCATGGAAAAAAATTGCAAAAATAATTAAATCTATTTGCTTGTAGAGAGAGCTTCAGCGAGAACTAGAGCAGACAGTCTGGGATTCGACCTTCAAGGCGGGAATTTTCTTCCTCCAC